ACAAAGATTCATTAGTCATTGCTGTTTAGAATTAAATAGGGCAATACATTGTGGGTAGTTATGTTTAGATTACTGATCCTCCTTGTGCCTTTTTTTAGCATAAATCATTCTAATGGTATGCTCAAGGTCAGGGGATCAAGGGTTGGTGGAGAGGGGTAGTTCTATTTAGATTGATAATTAATTCGATATTATATTATTGTCGAGTTACTAATTTTCTTAAAACTTAATAGTAGTATAAATTTTGTTATTCCAGTAACTAGTATGTAAAGTATCTCACTTTTATTTTCTGTTTTTATCGTCAACACTGCCTTACTGTCGTGATCATGATGAAAACTCATCTTTATAGAAATAATATTTGAATATTAATTGTCTGATGTAACATTATGATTACTTAGCAGAAAATTTTATGAAAGGGAAATACATTTTGACAAACATAAACTTCTCTTTTAATAGATTTGCTATAATTAATAAATAATAATGATAGTTCTTTCTCCTGGAAAAAATTCATATAAAAACATTTATATTTTCCTTTAGCTTAGCATTAATATAACATGCACCTAATAATATACTTTGTAATTTGTATTTTGTCGAGAAAAGTATTAGTAAGTTCATTTTTTGTATCTCTTTTTTTGAAGTACTATAACTTGTCAAACACTATTAATATAAATGTAGTTTAATCGATAAGAGGGAAGGACTTGGGATAAAAGTCAAACAGTGTTTAATTTAAATAATTTGTCCGTTTAGTTTGTCTTATATCCTTAAAATGAGTGTTAATTTTGAAATTTTACATAAGGCATAAATTTTTTTCAGAATATGTAATCAGACTAAATCTATCGAAGTCAAGTTAGTCAATGGTTGATTTTAAATGCTCTATCTAATGTTTCGGAATTGTCTTTTATATAGATTTATTCTATTTGCGGACAAAAAAAAAAAAAAAAAAAAAAAAAAAAAAAAAAAAAAAGGATAGCCAATGAGACAAAGTATGCTTGAAGCTCTCTTTGAAGTTACTTGGAGTTGGGCCTAATTGATTTTCTAAATTACATGTCAGCTCTTGTTCATGAATGCCTTTACTTCCATGGATTCCCATATAAGTTTTCCCCTCAACCCAAAAAGGCCCATACTTATCCCTTTAATACCTCCGTACCATACTATGAGATTTTCATTCAATAGTTCAAGGGTGCAGGACTTTTATAATAAATATCTTGATATCGAATTCAAGATCGGGATCTTAGGTATGATCATTAGCCAAAAATGTACCCTATCGATGTTTTGAAGTGTAACTAATCTGATCTGAACTTATTTTTTCTGAAATTAGTAAAAATAAGGTAAACTAAACAAGGCCTTAGTTAGCCATTGACCTATTCTATGACTCTATGAGTCCTGACTCCGAGGAACTTGGGACAGCATGGCCTGTAAGTTGTGAGTATGTGACCAGCTTAACTGAAATTGAGAATCAACACCATAATTATCCATTGTCCTATTTTATGTCTGTTAAACACTCGGGACTACACGGCCAGGAAAGTAATCAGAACTGGTTTTGCTGTCAATTGGCCTTCATTTAGGACATGATTCATTAATAGATTAAGATCTCCTTGATTAGGAATGTCTCATGAGAAGTTTGCTAACATGAATAGACTAGATAATCTGATTTTGTGTAAATTGGTTGTGGCTTGTAATAGACTAGATAATCTGATTTTGTGTAAATTGATTGAATAAGTAATAATATAGATAGAAGCATGAATCTTGATTGACAATGCACAAAGGGGTTACAAATGATAGGTTCAATAGCTTTAGGCTATTACTTAGCTTGAGATTATAACTCTCTAACAATTGCTTTAGGCCGTAACTCTCTATAATACTACTCTCTACCTATTTAGGCCTTGTTCACTTCACCTTATTTTTGCTGAATTGAAGTTATATTTCCTGAATTGAAATTAATTTCGTTGTACTTAAGTTATTTTTACTGAAATGAAATTAGTCTTGCTGAACTGGAATTGTTTATTCTTCATCACTATTATATTTTTTCTCAAGTTACTTATTGTTACTAAATTGAACTTATTTTACTTAACTAACTTTATATTTACTGAACTGAAATCTGAAATTATTTTTACTGAATACAAAGTATTATTATTATTTTTTAAATGAAGTGAACAAGGCCATATATTACTTAGCTAAGCTAAGCAAGTACGACTTTAACTGTTACCTGTACTAATTTTTGTCTTCATCCTAAAAAGGCAACATGGTAGCTAGTAAGCCAGCACAACAACTACTGCAGCTTTAAGGTAGTGATTCCCTTTGTGGCGGTGTGTTAGCCTACCTCTTTTTTCTGCCTCCTGCTGCAAGTTTAAAGAACAGGTGGTGTGTTAGCCTGAGTCATTACATAGCTCTTGAGAATTTGTGAAAGCATTGGCTTGGAATGTCTCGTAGAAGGTGACAAGTTTTTGGAGACATGGGATACACTCTGACATTAGTGATGTAGACAAGGGAGAAGGAAAGAGGGAAGGGTTAAGAAAAAGAGAATAATAGCAGCCATAATCCGGAGTAGTAACGAAGATTCACTCTTATCTTATTTTTTTTCTCCTTCTCGTAGTGTACTTTGTGCTGTAAAACTTTAGAGGAGGTGTGTGTGATCTTCAATTATGGATGTTTTATGAGAGAATTATAAAAAAAAAATAAAAATTCTAAGGCTTTGATGAAGAGATTATAAGGTGTGGACTTGTGCTGATAAAAAAGAAAGTTGTTGATTTTTTCTAGAGTAGGGAGTTAATGTAACTATGTAAGAGGCTAATGGTTAACAAAAGAGGAAGATACTTTCAGGTTTTGTTTGGTTCAAGAGGGCTTGTGTTTAGAGTTCTATTTTGCTATCTCTTTGTCAATTGTTAACAATACCCTCCGCTATAGAGCTAAACCTGCGTGAGTAATAAAACATCTTATGCATCTGTGTGCTAATATTTTCTGCTGTGCACTTATCCTGCATGTAAAACTTGCCTGCCTCTGATTTTCTCTCTTCTGGTAATGATGCTTTTAACTTATTCTTGGCATCAGTGCTACTTGTTTTTAATTTCAAAACCAAGATATAGGGCAGACATGTGAGCTCCTTTTAAGCAAGTGCAAGCTCCTGTGTTTGTTCATCATTTAAGGATCTCAGTTTTGACACATGACTAATAATTCAGAAAAGTTACCCAGCCATATTTTTTAATTTTTCTTTAGCTCACCAGAGTGCAGTGTAGGAACACATGGGCCTGCTAAAAGCTCTAAATTATTTGTTTTGGTGCTGAAGTAGTCTATGAATGAACTTTCCATTTCATTGCAGTTTTTATTAATTATAGAATCACAGTTTTTATGAAGATTATTATCCTTTGCTAAGCACATGGTCCTTCATGGAAGCTCTTGAAAAGGTTTTGGTAGTCTCGAGCTTCAAAGGTTTTCACCAAGGCAGTGAGGTTTTTGGGTACCCTTGTGGATGGTTCTTTAAGTCTCTAACTGTGGAAGGTCTGTTTGGATTGGTAAAGATATAAATTAATGGCAACTGGGAAATATCTGAGATAAACAGTCTTGATGCTTAATTCCGAAGCGATTGAGGGAAGCCAGTAGTGTACAAAAGGAAAGAGGAAAATATGGGGCTGTGGTTGAGGTAAGAGGGTTCTGATTTGGGGTTGCATTTAATCAAGTGCTACTCTGAGGATTTAAAGAGCTCGTGGTGTTATGTCAGAGTGTCACACTTAGGGAGGAGTCTTTTGATTGAAGAGATAGTGAGAGAGATGAACTGGTAGATTAAAGGGGGATGTGATATGATCCATATTTCCTGGATTTGATGTGATATTGGGAGGATAGCTTGTTAGAGAGCTAAGTAAATGATTTATATGACCATATGCAACCATATCATAGCAATATGAAGATTGCTTTGCTCTTTGTGATTTTCATCATTCTCTGTGATGGTTCATGGTCACGCTTAACCATACCAGGTGGAGAAGTGATCTGTATACTAGTCAAGTGAAGTTCTTGTTATAGATTGGAAATTAATTAAGGCAAAAGAAGTGAATTTGGGAAAGTTTGTTAGATGGTTATAATGTTTGATGCAATGGAATCACCTACAATTGTGTTTACAATCCTAGCTTCAGAGTGACTGGACACTATCCAAGGCTAAGTAAGATGAAAACTCTCATCAATTTACATCATGTTTTCCCTTCTCCTAAACTCCTATATATTGACTCACTTTCCTCTACTTCTTGTCAAATTACCAATAACCTAATTCTAAGAACTAATGCATTGCGTAGACTACCCTTCCCCTTTGGCTAGAATCAACCCGTATACAAGTAAAGTGAGGTTCCATCCTTAAACCATGTGGTGATAGGTATATCCCACTGACCTTACCTATGCTTTTGAGTTTCTAACCAATCTTAGCTTCAATGTGAGACAATAGTTCTTCAAGCATATATAACTTTAAAAAAATGTGTGCATTTGGTAGTGCATATAAGGGAAATAAGATATTAATTAAGACAGTGAATGTGGGTGGAGATGGTAAGTACCATAGTAGATGAACTATGGAAATTATAACCAGGGGGGTTGTTACCCTCATTTGGAGGTAATAGTTGCCCTACCACATAGAGTAATGTCTGGGTATTGCCCCCACTAAGATTTCAGCATTGTTATTAGTTTTTAGTTATCAGTTATTGTTATTAAGTATTATTATTATACTCGTAGTAGTTATTATTATTAATTATTATTTTTAAAGAAGATTTCAGCCGAGCATAACAGTTCAAAAAAACAGGGCCTAATTCGTTAACCCCAACAATCAATCCAAATAACCAAAAGTGTGCTAGAAAACTACGTTTAAAATGTTGTGTATAAAGATATGTTCTTTAACTTTATTCAATAAACTTATTTTAACCAGAGTCAGCCACATCAAGTTCGACCAAATTCCGTCTCATGGTTAAAAGTCAAGGAATGTTGTTTTAGGATGATTGATTTGTTATTCAGAATTTGGGATATATGTAAAACTTTAGACTAGATACCTAATTCTTGAATCTTGATACATGTATCAAATTAGCAATCGGTGGTGCCTCTTAGCAAAAAGACGTGGGATAGTTTCTGATAGAAAAAAAATGAGGATACATGTCAAACTTCCTAGTTAAACTGAATTAATGAAACTTTCTTGTCAAAAAAAAAAAAAAAAAAAAAGAATTAATGAAGCTTTTAACTTATTTCTGTGACAATGTGGCTCCTTTTCTTATTGACAATTAGGTTTTGTGGTGTAAAATGAAGGTCTTAATGGTAAAGCCAGGATGTCATGAGATACATGACTCATGAAAGTTTTATATTTCAGATGTATTATATTTTTGTAACGACTTATGATATTCTAGAAGAGTTAGGTTTATAGTCTTTATACCCACCTCATGCAAATGAAATAGTTTATTGATACATAAATTATATATGCATGCCTTGAAAATGCCTTTGCGGGTTTCCTATGCTGTGAACCGAGTGAACTTTTGTACTATATACTACCTCCGTTAATTATTACAGTGTGTGCAACAAAAGGGTATTATTTGTGAGACATAAAATATTCCTTTGTTGCACATATAATTGACGATATTTTTAACTTCTATAAAAATTGTTGTTGTGTGATCATGATTTACATTCCTTGATCCATAGTATCCATACTACTACCTTTAAATTATTTTTTAATGGAGCAAACAAATAAGAACAGAGTGAGTAATTTAAATTAGGGTTAGTCAGTAGTGTATCAACCATCATAATGATTTGGGGACCTTACAATAGATATTTTGTGTGACCTTTAGTCAGCATCCCTACTATTTCTGACGACTTTTAGGATACAGTGGTTGTTAGACTAACATGGAGCTAAAACAGAAATGGACTGAAGTAGGATTGTTCTATTAAATGGTTTTTATTATGTTGGTTGGGGATTGACGTGATTCAACTAGAATTATGTAATGCTTTAGTTCTATTATTACGTAAGTGTAGGGATGACAATGGTCGGAGGTGGGTCGGGTGATGCTTCATCCGCCTCCATCCACTAACGATTTATTGGTCACCCAATATATCCATCAATCTATCTAGCTAATTTACCTTCATTCACATCTGATCCATCCAGAATTAAGATAAAGATTTTTTAAAAAGTGATTAATTAATTAAAGTTTGATACATCTTTCTAATACTTGCTCCTTGGTTCTAACTTTAAACCACATGTTACTTCCTAAACCTTGCAAATGGATATTGTATTATTAAAAAAATATATGCATAAATTTTCGTTTTTTCAGAAACTTGAAAATAAGTATTAAGTCAAAATCAAATAAGCATATTGTTTGAGTTAGGGGTGAGCAAAAAAATCAAGGTACCCTAAATCGGAACTTGTAGGAACTGTAGGCTTTTGAATTTGAACCTGTACAAGAGGTTTTGGGTAGTGAAATGGAGAACTTGTACCAACAGGTTTCAGTTCCGGTTTCAATTTCCAAGAACCTGTTCAACAGGTTTCGATTCAGGTTTATTAAATTTTAACAGGATACCCTATTATGCTAACCCCTAGTTTGAGTTATCCCCTACGAAGTATGTTAGTAGAAGTTCTTCCAACTTGTTATTCAAGAGTTTGAAACTTCTAATCGTCTTTGGTGATTTTCATTGTCTTTGTTAGATCTTATAAGATTTATTTCATTTCTAATTTTCATGGTATCAACTTTTCATGATTTTAATTTATACAGAATCAAGAATGTTAATGGTAAAAAATGTGCATTCTATATTCAATTTAATTTTTTGACTTTTATAATAAATCTTTAGGGTAGATTAATAAATAATACGAACCAAAAATCACTCATAAAAATAAAGAGATCTACATTCGTTTTGATTTTATCTTTCTGGTTTGTAATTCTAAGTATGGAATAAGATTTATGTCATCCTCTCTAAATGGATTATAGGAAATGATTTAGATTGAATTGCTAAAATTGTTTATACCGAGCTTGCCTATGCATCTAATATTTCTCCCTGCCAATAATTGCCATGTTGAATTGTTGATGGCTTTAGGGAATACGTCCTTTTCATTTACTACATCATGGGGAGCAGCTATTGTATTGTGTAGTGGGGCAGGGGTTTGTTAAATTGTATACCCTCCGTCTCTTGATTATATGCCTATTTCTTTCTATTATGTGAGATTGTGAGATAAATGAAAGAAATAGGCGTATAATTAAGGGGACGAAGGAAGTATTTGTAAGATTTAGTAGAGTATTTGTTTGATTACAATTACAATGTGCTCATATCATACACCTAAAAGTGCAGTATTTACCATCATTTGGTCGGATTTGAGAGGTTTGGAGTTTGAATCTTGCTAATAGTGGTGATCCCCTTATCTTTTTAGGCCAAAAAGTTAGGAGGACTAAGGTTTGGTCCCCTAACCTTTTGTTCAAATATAACAATACTTAATTACTTTGTCATAACTTTTTATATGCAAGTAATAGACATCAAATTACTTATAAAGAAAAACTCTCAAAAATACTCAAGGGGGCCGGGTCCTTGCCAGCCCTAACAAAGGTCCACCCTTGATTATGGCCTTTTTTCTTTCTGAAATATTGAAAAAAAAAAAAAGTGTAAGTAGTGTTTAGATTGCCTTTGTCAACCAATGAATATGACGAACTCCAATTTTTCCTAATGGAGTTTCCTTGATTTAGTGAACAAGATATGTAAGCCTATTGGAAATCTTGCTGGAAACTTGGATCATAAAGTTTTAACTTGTGCTAGGTCATGAAATTATTCGAGTTTGTACTAACATTTAGGAGGTGATACGCTTAATGTTTATGAGCATAAGAGAGAACAATATTGCTTAAGTAAAAAAAATGAGAACATGTCATCTTAATGAAACAACCACCAATATAATGTACATAACAAAAGTACAATATTGCTTATTTCAGAAAAAAAAAAATTGCCAAGAATATATCATCTCATAATAAAAACATGAATCTAAATGCAAGATGCTGTATTATTTCCCATCACTCTTTTACTTATTGACCTTCAGAAGCCATGATCAAGCTTTTTGAACCAATGCTTCTAATTCCTTGACTAAATTAGCAATATATTTAGTTTCAATGTCCTTGTCTAAGAAAAACTTTTTCCAATTGCTGTGATTCTTTCTGATGGATTTGCCTGGTTCTGTATCAGTATCCACCATGACAGTCTTAATTGCTTCCAAAATGTCCTCTTTTCCGAAAAACCCATCTTCATCTCTTCTATTTACCTCCACCCCAACTTTAAGATCACCACTAAACATCTTAGAATTTAGAAACTGATCACCCTTTTGAGCCACAAATGCTAGCTGACAATCATTCACAATACCCTCTATTACAGAGCTAAACCCTGAGTGATTAAGATAGCATCCTACGCTTTTGTGTGCTAAAATGTGCTGCTGTTGCACCCACCCTGTATGCACTACTCCCCTGTCTTTGATTCTTTCTCTGAAACCTTCTGGTAGTGATGCTTCTAGCTTATTCTGAGCGTCAAAGCTACCGGTTCCGAAATTCAGAACCAGGAAAAAGGGCAGACCAGTGAGCTCCAACCCAAGTGTAAGCTCCTGAATCTGCTCATTATCCAAATATGTTTCGCTTCCGAAATTACAAAATATAACTGATTGCTCAGGGAATTTACCCAACCATGTTTCCCATTTTTCTTCTAGTTTACCAGAAGGTGGTGGAGGAACAGCTGATCCTGCTAAAAGCATTGGTTTTCCTATCTGGGTTTTCAAGTAATCTATGTACGGACTTTCTATTTCAGTGCAGGTTTTATAGATTATAGCATCACATGATTTTATGAAGCTCATAATTTTATTGAAACCGGAAGGTAAGCCATTGAAGCTCTTGAAAAGGTATAGGAAGTCTCGAGCTTGGAAGGTTTTCATTGATGTGATTGAGGTTTTAGGGAACCCTGGAGGAGGGACCTTTAAGTCATCAACAGTGGGTTGTTTGTTTGGATCATTGATTCTTGCTGGGATAGTTAGATATGAATTCGCAACGGCTGAGAATACACTGTAATTTACAGCCTTGATGCCTAATTCATAAGCAATTGAGGGAATCCAGTAGTGTGCAAAATCAAAGAGGATAATGTGGGGTTGAAGTTGAGATAAAAGGGTTCTGACTTGTGGTTGCATTTGATCAAGTGCTACTTTAAGGAGTTCACCAGTTTCTGGTGTTATGTCAGAGCTGCTGTCAAAGTTAGATGACAGTCCTTCAGTTGGTGGGATAGTGAGGGGGATGACTTGATTGAGAGGAGTGTTATTAAGGGAGGATTCGATGCGAGCGACGTTTCCGGGTAACGAAAAGAAGGATATTTGGATGCCATGGGAGGATAGCTTGTTAGAGAGCTGGATGAATGGGTTTATATGACCATACGCAAACCATGGAAACATTACAATGTGAAGTTTGCTTTCCATCTTTCTCAAACTGGTGTTTTGTGTGTACTTTGAGAGACTTGAAAGAGAAATGGCAATTATTTTTGCTCCCTAGCACATTCACTATATATGTCGGCAATTACTTTAAAATGACCTAAAAAAATGGACCATATCACTATATCAGCTGTCATTCTGTCAAACTCGGGTGTATGTTCATGTTGTGAGCATTTGGTAGTAGGTAGGTGGAATATGGAAATGATAGGTTCAAATTTGCCAAATTAGATCATCAATGTTCTTTTGTATATTAATGCTACTTTAGTACTTTACCCCACCTCATTATAACCAACAGTGAATTCTATGGCTGTATTTCATGCATCAATTCTGCCGCAAGCCCAGTGGCATTATTTTTGTCACGAAGCTTTTACAACATGAGTTCATGAATTATTTGTTAGTCAGTAAAGTATGGAGTATATATATATATATATATATATACTTCCTCTGTTTTTTTTATACTACATCCGTTAAGTTTTATTTGCAACTTTGAGGTGCAATACGGATCTCAAGTTAAAATTTCATAATGGTGATTATGAAATGAAAGGGTTTGTGATTAAAGAGGAGAGAGATAAGTTAAACATGATTAGTAAACTACCCAAGCCACTCACCAGGTGACTAGGCCACCACCATCGGAACCACCTAAACCAGACCAGCCACCACCACCGACACCACCTAAACCAAACTAGCCACCATCACCGGCACCATCGACACCCCCCAAAACCCAGAGTACCGACCACGAAACTTCCAAACCCAAACCACCACAACCATCGGACATTGCCAAAATTCCCAAACCAGGACCACCACAACCACCGACATTGCCGAAACACCCTAAACCTAGCCTAGACCACCGATCGACACTAGTGAAACCCCCACTTAAACCCCTTACACCACCTAAATCTAGACCACCCACCAACACCGACACCATCAACACCACCCACAAAGGCCACGAAATTCACTGAAACCACCCACAAGACCCACGAAAATCACTTAAATCACCCAGAAACCCAATGAAAATCATCGAAACCATCCACAAAGGCACAAACCCACCAAAAATCATTGAAAACACCCAAAAATCCACTTAAACCCTTAAACCCAGAATACCCACAAACCCACGAAAATTATCTAATCCACGAAAACATGTGTGTTGCTTTCCTTCTTGCCGCAAAACCACCATAGCCACGACGACGTTGCTGCTATTGCTTGCCGGAGTCAAAATCAATGGAGGTTGTGATTGAGAGGAGAGAGAAAGAGCCAAGTTGGGAAATTTTAGATCCAAATTAAGTTGTTAGTGTAATGTAGTTATTCATTTAAGTGAATGTTTAATTTTTAAAATAAGGGCAATATTGACATTTCTAGCAAAAAAACTTACTAAAAAAGGAAAATTTTGGGAAAGTTGCAAATAAAACTAAGCATCCAAATATAGTAAAAGTTGCAAATAAAACTTAACAGAGGTAGTAGTTACAACTGTTTGACGATTTACAATTAAGTAAAAATATAGTCATGTGGAATCTTGTTAGATTTGTATCGATTTATACAATGTTAATATCAAATGTTTATAATTTTTACATATGATAATTAAAAATATAAACATTTGAAAACATGCATCAACAAGCGTGAAAGGAGAAGTGTTGTAACTATAACAGATGAAGTATATTTTTAATATCTATTCAAAAAATATATATATATTTTTAAAATTGCACATTTGCATTACTTTTCTTTAAGAAAGTTTTACAAATATTGCGCTATTTATTGATTTTAAAGAAAGAAAAATCTATGTTCACACCGCAAATAACTAATGTTCTTTTTTTTTCAACATTTAATTTTTTAATTTATGTTAGAGATTATCAAAATTCGGGTTGGACTAGGCCTTAGTATGAAATCTTATGCCCAAGCCCGCAAAAAAATATTGGGCTTTTTTCAAGCCATGTTTGAGTTTGTTTTTTTTTTTTTTTTCTAAAATTGTGTTTTTCTAGTTGTCTTAACTCGCCCATTTTTTGGGTCGGATTGGCCAAACCATAGCCGATCACCTCTAGTTTATGTATATAATTACTTGGGCAAGTTTTTATTTTTACCTTTCTCTCTCATCCTTTTTTCCGCTACTAAAAAATTTGTGCTAAATCCATATATTGCAATAATAAAACAACGGAGAAAGCATAATAATATACAAAAAATGTATTTTTACTGCTATCAAGTTGCATTTTTACAAAGTGTTGGCTCACTTGTTAAAAATAATAATAACAAAATAAAAAATAAAAATGTGTTGGCTCACTTGTTAAGAGACTTAACTTAGATCAGAAGTCTAAGGTTTGAATCCTAAGACCTTTGGGTTTAGGGAGGTAGGGATTCCCTTATTGTACCCCCTACATAATTTGAGTTGCAAAACTGTATCAAAAAAGCAGTGAAGGTTGATGTTTGGTCAAGGTTTTGGTTACCCTTAAAGCAATAAAAAAAAAATTAAAAAAAATAACTATTTTCGCTTGTTCAATTCACATTACCTCATTTGATTTGTTATTCATAGTTCAATTTGATCTAGTCTGATTTGTTTCTTAAATTTGATTTAATTTTAACATTAATTTTCAAGGAAAATAAGTTGTAAAGAAGAGATTTGAGGGGGTAAATGAGACGACATTAAATATCTATTAATGGGCAATTTTTATATATGAAATTAAACACTTTTTCTATTCATTTTATTTGCATCTTAGCGTTTTGAAATGCATTGTAATCATGTAATGATGAGATTTGAGGAGGTAAATGAGCAAATCATTCAAACTAATTAAAACGCGAGATAGAATTTTTATGTTATCTGTGTTTAAGTTATTTTTGAATAATTTGATCGTGCCCTTACATATTTATCTTTTTTGTTTTTTTTGACAACTCTTAAATGTGTATCTTAAAAGTGTGCTAAAATGCTACTTGTACATTATAAGTAATATGGAATTGAGGAAGTGTGTAGTAATGCTATGTTCATTACATCAAATATAACCTAATTCGAAATTTTTAATAAGTTCTAATGTTAGTTGATTAAGTTCAACTTATAACTTAGATAAGTTCAAATGTTGATAAGACAAGTTAAATTCAATAAAGTTTAGGTGAATTGAATGTATTCTTAATTTGTCTAGAACCAAAGTATATTGAAAGGAACTATGCACATGAAGCCCTTGTGTACACTATGTGTAGCTCTTTCAACCAAACTTTTAGTATTTATGTTATAACATATGAGACTATGGGAGTGAACACAAGGGAGAGAAGTCCAAAAGTCCACAAACTAGAGTCCATAGCAAGGTTATATCCCAAAACCAATTGGCTATAGAAGAAATAATTCGCTTAGATTATAAACTAAAAGCCCATTACTTTCTTTTCAATGTACAACAAACACTACGCACACTTACACCTAAGTCCTAACAATATATATTTGAAAATATCTTATGGATGACGGTAGGTATAGCCATAGAAAGCTTTACCGCATATTATGTGTAAAATGCTGGTTAATGCACCTATTACAGGACATCATACAACTCCTTGGGCAAACGAGTTGCAAGGATGGCATTCAAAGGGGTTGCCTTGGGGATAGCCAGGCCCAAGCCTTCTGACATATCGACTGGGGCGCCGCCCTCGGTCCGTAAATCAAATCCTTGGACCAAACGAGCCAGCGATAGTTGAACCACTAGCAACCCAAAATTCATCCCAGGGCAGGCCCTCCTTCCTGCTGAAAAAGGGATGTACTCATAACTCTGCCCCCTAAAATCAATATTAATATGCTCATCAAAGAACCTTTCGGGCCGAAACTCATCTGGCCCGGCCCATACCCTTGGGTCCCGGTGCACCTTCCAAATGTCGACGATTACGCGGGTCCCTTTTGAGACGAGGTGGCCGCCTATGTGGCAATCTTCCAACACCTCTCGTGGGCCAGCCAACGGGCTTGGCGGGTACATACGAAGTGTTTCTTTGATAATGACTTGCAAGTATGGTAGGCTTGGGATGTCTGATTCCTCTACCCATCTTTGTTTTCCAACTTGTTGGTCTATTTCTTCTTGGGCTGCTTTTAGGGCCTTGGGGTGATTCAATAGTAGTGAGATGGCCCAAATTAGTGTGATGGAGGTGCTTTCAGACCCCGTTAATAGTAGTATCTGCATTATTAAACAATTTAATAATGTCAACACATGAATTTTGTTTCAATATATGTCAAAGAACGGGTATACTTCCTCCGTCCCATAATTTGGTGTCTATTTCTCAAAAAATACGGTAATTAAGAAGAATGGTGGAAGTAGAAGAATATTCTATTGAAAATATAAAAAGTAGAGAATTTTGTATGAGATTAATAAAAGGTAGAGAATATTGTATGAAAAAGAGAATTAAGTATGATTTTTTTTGGATATATGTGTATTTTTTATGGAAAAAAATAAAAAGTAATGATTATATGTTATTTTTAGAAACAAGTACAACATTTTGGGATACCGAAAAAGGAATACAGTAACGAAATTATAGGACGGAGGAGTATACTCTAAAACTTAGAAAAGAAAGTCAAGCACTCAATGTATAATGTCCTATTGGATGCAAGATATTTATTAATTTCCTTGTTAGTACGGTAAACCAAGAGATGGATGATAGCTAACTTAATTGATAAAGATATAGGGGATTAGATTGAATCTTATATGTATTATTGACATTCGTGGCACTTTCACACTTGTGATTGGCCCTGGTAAGTTGATTAAACTTAGCAGTCAAGCCTTCTTATTATGGGTCAATTGACTGGGAAGTGTGTTTAGAGAGTCATAAATGCGAGTGATGAGAATCAATCCCAGGATCACCTAGAATCGGGAGAGAAACTTTAACCATTTGAGCAGTTGAGTTATCCCTCACTATCGTATGCAAAATATATCATAGGTATGATGTTATATGTGGATTAGAAAATACCAGTGCTGTTGCTTTAATGACAGTCTCCCTAGTGTAGCCGGAGATAATAGTGCCCTCGGCGAGGTTCGATAGCATTACATCCATGAAATCAACATCTTCATAGCTACCTTGGTAATCTTTCCTTCTTTGTATGTGCTCATCAAGCCAATGTCCAATAATCATGTCTATTTCCTTGTGAATATCTTTCATGAAGCCAATGTACCCCATTACATCCATCCATTCGATAGACGGTATGAAATCCGAGGGCACGGCCACCCCAGCAACGTACGTAGCTTTGCCTATTAGCTTCTTAAATCGCGAAGCAAAGGTGCTACTTTCTTCGTATGATTGAGGAGAAAACGTCTTTCCAACTATCATACGAATAGCAATGTTAAAACTTGTGCACTCGATCCACTTACACAGCGAGATCCTGCCAGACTGATACTTACTGTCTGAAACTGAAATCTCTCTGCATTCCTTAAACAGATGTTTGATGCAGGAGTTTATCTCGGAAACTCGAGCATGCTTCATCTTCTCAAGCCTCTTTAATGAGAAAAGCTCAACAGTTGCTATCTTTCTCATATCACGCCAGTATTTACCGTAAGGAGAGATAGCAAATGACGCGTAGTTGTAAGCTAAGTACTTACTCAAAGCCATAGTAGGCCGTGTTGCGGTGACAGCATCATTGTTGAGTAGACAGTCTTTTACTATCTCCCAGGAAGTCAGGACTACTGCCCGCTGTTGGCCGAGGCGGAGGGAAAAGATCGGCCCGCATTCGTCAGCCATGGCTCCGAGGGTCCGGGCTATGGTTCTTTTGCCACCTAGAAGATGTAAGTGGCCTATGAAGGGCAATGCCCCTGATGGTTGAGGAAGTTGCTTGTTGATCTTGCCACGCTTGTTTATAGTTTTTCTCGATTTTCGAGTATTATGGTATTTAGCCAATGTAGGAATCAGAGTTATAGCTAAAATAACTAGCAGAATTAACTGCAAATTAGGAGTGTAATCCTCCATTTTTTTTCTAACTTTTTTTGTGTTTCTCTTGAGGTTGATGTAAGGTTGTTTGTTGAGGTATGAAAGATGAGGAAAATGCATTTTATGGCGTTGATTTATAGGAGGTATGAAAATTCATCATATCGTTTGAGGAACCTAGTAATTCTGTGTTCCTTCAAAAAAAAAAAAAAAAAAAAAAAAAAAAACTAGTAATTCTGTGTTGTCAAGATTTGAATACATACATTATTGATGGGCCATTAGTACAATGTCGTTATGTGATTTTTTACATTTAACATGTTTTTGGGTAAGGAAAATATGTTTGGAAATTAATTGATTTTGGTACTATTGTGGTACGAGTATTTTTTTTTCATCCACTTTGAAGTCTAAATCACCAAATTTAGAAAAAGAAATTCCAAATTAAGGAAGAAAGAAGCAAAGTTAAGTTATTTATACTCTAAGGCTCTGTTCTAATTTGCTAAAATGAACTGAATTGAAATTAAGCCGAAGAGATCAGGCCCCAAGTGATGTCTCAAAATTAAAATTACTAGGTTTATGGCCCGAGAAATGATTAGAGCATGGGGATTATGAAGAAATTGAGAAAGGAAAGGGGAATGGAAAGGGAGATGAAATAGATGAGATTGAGAAAACAAAATGAACGACTATAAATTATTTTCATTATTGATTTTTGTAATTTTTTAAAAAACACATGGTAAATATTGAGAAATTAATAAAAATGACACATAAACTACCACCTAATTTAAATTTGATGATTTTTGTAATTTTTTAACAAACGCATGATAAATATTGAGAAATTAGTAAAAATGACACAAAAGTACCACCTGATTTAAATTTGATGATTTCGTAATTCATGATCGGACACTTAAGGGTTGGTCATTAAATTAGCACAAACTTATTTTTTATGTGTGGAGTACCAGAGTAATATCTATTATCTAACTAGGTGGCTACGCGTCATAGCTAGCCTTGTTCGGGAGTTTTTTTTAGGAACAATTAACATTAAAAGCAAAATAACAACTTGTACATATTAATGAGGGTAAATATGTAAATCTACATTTTGAAGGGTATAATTAACAACACAATATTCATAAGAGTTATCTTATACGGAGTACTTTTTACTAGGTTAGACCCGTGCATCGTTTATATAATACCTATTTATAATTTGTACATTTAAAACAAATGGCTATTATACATGAATGTAAATAAATATTACATGCAAAAAATATTTATAATTTTTAAATTTTAGATTTTCATCAAAATTATGATATAGTATTGTACCTATTTAACGTTGTCTAATACAGTACATAGTTCAATATAAGAGGTCATTTATTAATGTGCTATTTAAAATTGTTTCAATTTCCTACCATAAATTAAATTAATAGATTTTATTTATAATGTAGAAGTTTCTAATATTTAAATTTCAAAATATTAAATATGATTGTTCTACGCCTCTACCAAAAAAAAATGACATATTATTGTATTTAGGTGGAAATTTTTTTATTGAGAGAGCGACACATGGGCAATGGTGATGTCAGCATTATTTAACTTAATAATAATTAATAGAATAGATAAGGTAGGGATATGAAGATCAATCGGACAAAAGTTGTTATAATATTTTCGAAAAATTAACATATCAACCCAACCTATTTTATAGTGAAACTTGCTATTTCTACAATGGGTGTGTGAGGTACGGGTGAAAATTTCAATGGTGAAAATTTCAAGTAAAGTCATTATATGAAAATTATTGGTTGATTGGTCATTTCTCAATTTCAATGTAAATCTATGTGTTTTTATAATTTTTGCTTTATTGTATAGTATATTTCTCATTATATTGTTGGATTGTTCAGAAACTTTCTTACAAAAGTTGGCCTTAATAAATCTCGAACTGATTGTTCTTAAAAAGTGTTTAGAAATTAGAGTGTGGCAGGAAACATGATCAATAACTAAGCAAGTTAGAATATAATTGTTTCAAAAAATAAAAGGCTACTCTTAAGGCATGTTCTCATAGACTGAATTTAGTTGAACTGAATTGAACTGAGCTGAGCTGAGCTGAAATGAACTGAACTGAACTGAAATGAATATTTTATAGGAGAAGGAAATTAGGAGCTAAAGTAAGCTGAGCTGAGCTGAACAGAACTGAGTTGAACTGAATTGAACTGAAAATAAACATATGACCTTAGTTAGATTGATTTTCTAAGTAAGTTGAGGTATCTTCCTCATTTAATATTGTGGCTTAGATTGATTGGAATTTCTAAGCCAGAAATTCGATTCATTCTACAAGATATTATGAAAAGTTTGAATTGACCTCTAAATAAGTATGGAGTAGTAACAATCAAGAATAGGTATCGTGTCCTGATGTTTTGATGAACAACTGTATATTGTTGAATTTTCTAACGGTTGGGTTCGATTATTCAATGGTTCAACTGGTCACAATAATTGATGTTAGCTATACAAGTTCTATGTTTGTTTGTCAAATATGATAGACAATTTGACCAAATTAATAACACACTGTAGTATAGTCTAATCACGACATGGTTAACATGCGGGTAATAGACTAATAGTCCCTCTGCTCTTGTCACCAAAGAGACTTTTTAATGCGTGTCATCCTCTTCCTTAGATAACGGACTAGAAATAAATGTATTCTTGACATATACCATGATAAATCAATTGATAATGGATTGATAATGGTAAGAAGGCTCATCTTAGGAGGGGGGATTTTAGGTTGTAAAATAAGCTTAGTGTGATTTGACCTTGATCTCACGCCTGAAAATCATAAAACTAGCCAATACAATTGTAGCCTCTTATCTTGAGTAATTAGCATACTAGGCCTTGTTCACTTCACCTTAAAAAATAATATTCGATAAAAAATAATTTTAGTTCACTAAAATTTATTTCTGTTCAATAAAAATAATTTCAATTCAGTAAAAAGTAGTAAACTTAAAGAAGAAATATAATAGAAAATCAGTAAAAATAATTTCAGTTCAGTAAAATTAATTTCAGTTCAGTAAATATAATTTCATTTCAGTAAAGATAATTTCACTTCAGCAAAAATAAGATGAAGTGAACGAGGCCTTATTACAAGTTAGCAATCCATTCTTGTATTAATTCAAACAGGGCAATAGTTTAAAGTACGGTTGTTGTACCTTTATTCACTTTATAAACAAACTAGATTAAACCCTGTGCAATGCACGGTTGTTAAATAATCTAATGACAATAAATTTTACCAAAAATAATGGATATAAATATTATAAATAGACTTAGTAGTAAAAAGTATGAAATATTGTGAAAGAAATTAATTAAACATGTAATAGTTACAATGGGCAATTTGATATTTAAGGACATTTATTTTAGATTTTATATAAATTAAAAGTCATAATTTAATTACAATAAGTTTTTTTTAGTAAGTGCTTTTGAAGAGAAAACTTTTTATAATATTTTGCCAAGTGTTCTCTAAGTTTCGCCTTTAGTACGAAGTATAATGTAATTAATGATTGATTGATTGAAACCACCCTAGCTAGTATCACCTGAAGTCAAGTATAAAGTTTTTTTTTTTTTTTTTATGCAAAGCAAAAGAAAAAGGGAATTGGAAGTTTGGAACCACCCTATCACACTTGTTAATGACTCTATTTATTTATTTATTTTATATTTGAGGGAACACTTCAATGACCATTTATAAAAATAAAATTTATAACTATATTTTAAAATTTTAAATAAAAATAAAAACCAATTACTTGGATTAATTAAGTCGTAAAACATATAAATTTGTGATACAATCAATCAATTAATTTAGACAATCACCTTTCATAACTACCAATCAAAATCATACCATTCACATTGTATTTGCCTCTCGGTAGACATGTTGACCTCTATCTTCGCAAGTGTTGAGCATTAACATGGTCCTGCCTACCTTGCCCAACTGTCTACCTTCATCCTTTCAAGTTCACGATTAAATGATTAATATATTTATTTTCATATAATATTTTATCTTTAACATCAGGGATGACAATTCAATCTAAGTTCGATTCGAATCTAGCCAGATCTAAAAAAAAAAATGATCCGAAACGGTTTAAAAATTGTCCGAATAATCCAAATCCGATAAAATAGATCTGAGTTTGAATAGGAGGCGGAGCGGACTTGGATCATACGCAAAGTCTGACCAAGTGTGACTCGAGTCGGAGTATATATGAGGATATGCTTTCTAACTTGGGACAATTGCTTGCATATTTGTAGTAAATTTTTCTCATGTAACTTAATTCATATTATAAACATGTTATATTTTGACTTTATACCCTTTTTTTTTTTAAACGCATCAATATGATATAAGAAATAAAGTTTAAAAGGGATAATCAAGCAATTATATATAGGTACATCATATTTTATATATATTAAAAAAAAATAAAATCAGATCTTTGAAGGTCCGAATAAGCAGATCGGATTCCGATCCAAAAATTACGAGTTGGATCAAATTCCGACTCGGATTTTTCGGATCCAATTCCGAGTCCAGAGTTCGTTTACTAAACAGATTGGATTCAAACTTAGCCGCATCTAACCCGAATTCGATCCGTTACCATTCCTATTCAACATTTTCCCATTATAATTAGTGACAAAATCATACTCCCTCTATTTTTTTAAGTGCCCATATTGACATGACATGCATGATTTTGACTAATAATATCTTTAATTATCATTAACTATAAATTATAACAATTGAATATTAATAATCTAGTTATTGAGAGTGTTCCAACAAGTACCCACAAGACTATATTTTTTCTAAGTACAATTTAAAAACATTGGCAAAGTATGTTTAGTGAATAGTGCAAAAATCCCCAATTGGACACTTTAAAAAAACAAAGAGGGTATTAAGTATTAAAATTAAATAAGAATTTTAAGAATCGAAAACCGAACCGATTAAGCTGAGACCGGACAGCTTTGGAGCAATTTAAGATTTTTTTTAAAAAGACCTCTAAATTTTAATAAAGTTATGGAAAATACGAAGAAAGTAAAGGAAAAACTATAATTTGACGTCTTTTTTATGTATGTTTAGTACAAAAAAAGCTTATAAAATTAAAGTTTTCTAAGCTTAAGCCCCGTTCACTTCAGTTTTTTTTTTGCTGAACTGAAATTATTTTTACTGAAACAAAATTATATTTGATGAACTTAAATTATTTTTACTGAACTTAAATTAATTTTACTGAATTGAAATTATTTTTTCTGAACTGAAATTATTTTTACTGATTTTCTATTATAACTCTTCTTTTTTACTGATATGAACTTATTTTTACTAAACTGAAATTGTTTTTACTGAACTCAAATTAATTTTATTGAACTGAACTTATTTTTATTGAACTGAAATTATTTTTACTTAATATTATTTTTTAAGGTAAAGTGAACAGGGTCTTATTAAGGATAATCTTAACCATTATTTAAGGTTTCACGTATTTTTTTAATCAAAAAATCGATCTGATCCAAGACCAGGCTTATAGGGGTTTTTTACTGGACCAGAAAAATTAAATTTCTAGATATGAAGATCAGACCGATTGATTCATTCCGGGGTGGTCCGGTCTATTTTTTCGGTCTAGACCGATTTATGAGCACCCCTGACGCTAGTATACATAGGTAAGCAGATATGAATATATAGAGTTGGACTTGGGTTTGGAGGCGTAAAAACTAGGAAATTTTGACATTTGCTACCAGGAAAAACACCTCGATTCACATTTGCTACCATTTTTTTTTTTACCACCTAAAACAAAGTTTGCAAAAAATTACTACCACTTAACGAAGGGAATGAGGAGAAGGGCTGAATTCAGTGGGGGTTGGCTTCGTGGGAGGTGGGGTTGGCCTTTGTGTGTGTGTAGGGGGGGGAAGGGAGGGGGGTTGTCTTCATGGGTGGGGGAAAGGGAGGGGTGGGATCGCCTGCGCCGGCCGTAACTTTGGGATACGGTCGCCGGCAGGGGGGAAGGGTGCCAGTTGAGGGGAGGGGGTGGCAGTGGGTGGCTGGACGGTAGTTCGGCCCCACTAACGAAAATTGTTACGGTGTAAGGCATTGAGTAGTAATTTCTAACAAACTCTAATTTAGGTGGTAGCAAAATATTATTATTTAAAAAAAAAAAAAACAAAAAAAACGATAGTGAATGTTAATCATGGTGTTTTTAGTGATAATAATTGTCAAAATTTCCTAAAAACTACAATAAACATGAATTTGGATTCAAACTTAAATTTGAATTTAGGGATTGATTTTTGGATAGGTTTATAATAAGTTTTTACTATGTATATCAACTCTCATGTTTTTCGAGTCAACTTGACAATTAAATTGATTTTGGGTTGGATCGAGTTGTTTTCAGTTTTAAAGTCACCATTAATCAGATCGAGTCGGGATCAATCTTGGTTCAGTTGGTCGACTCGAATCGAAGCAAGTCAAGACTCAAGAGGTTTGTATTGTTTGGTCCCGTGCGCTCAAACTGCTCGGACACGCTGTGCCTCGATAAATTGGCAATCACCCATCTTTCTTCCTTTTTTCTCTCTTCCATTCAATTCTGCTTCTAAACCGGCGACTATGGCTGCCAATTTCTGGACTTCAACTCACTAGTAAGTTACAATTACAATTATTCCCCCTATTTTGTCAATCAAGTTATATTTATATTTTCGAGTACCCTTTTCTTTTAATTTCTTTTACTAATTTAATTTTCAATTGAACAATATTATTGCAGCCAACAATTGATGCACCCAGAAGATGTAGATGTTGTCCAGCAACTTGACAGAGATCGTGGGATTACCCTTGATGATTTCAAGCTCGTTAAGATGCATATCTCCAATTGTATACTCTTTCTCTCAAGTTTTTTCCCTTTTTTTTAAATTATTATTTTACAAATTGTGATTAAATTTTTAATTTTGGGCGGAATTTCTTATCTGGGTATATTTTTTATTTACATAAACAAGGTGGGTTTTGAATTTGATGGAGTATTGAAGCTTAAGTTTTTTTTTTTTTTTTTTTTTTTAAAAAAAAAAAACATAAAAGACGATAATATTAATTACTTCAAACGTTTACAACATATAAATACAAGCAGCTTCATTCCGTAAACAAAATTAGAAGCATGGCTAATAGCTAAAATACATGATCTCAGAAAAACCTTAACAAAATTAGAGATCATTCTACCTAGAGTATTAATAGTGCACCTCCGAAAAGCAGCAAAATAAACATAAAAACAGCTAAAGAAATTGGTGTTAAGCAAGAGTTTGAAACTTGAGGAACTAGTCATCATGTCCAGCAGCAGCTGCCGCAGCTATTGCAGCCTGCTCCTCCTCATAGATAGGTCTAATATTCTCAGGGCACACCATATGAAGAGTGTGACCTATACTCATCTCAAGACCAATGCCCGCAAGTTCATGTGCCACTGCATTGTAGTCCCTCTGAACATGAGTAATGTCAAAAACATCAAAGTACTTGATGATTTCCTCAATATCCTTAATTACAGCAGCAAGTTCGTGGTGAATGTTGTTACCAGCAGACTTGAGCATAACCCTTAATGAAAGAGCATCAACCTCCAGCTCTACTTCCTTCATTTGAAGCCTCTTTACCATGGCTAATCCTTCCCTAACTGCAAGCAATTCAGAAGCAAAAGCAGAAACAGCATTGTATTTGCTCGAAAACCCCATAATCCAAGTACCATCATCTTTCCTTACAACCCCACCACCTGCAGCCACATTGATTGAAACCCAAGCACCATTCGTGTTGATTTTTACCCATCCTTGAGGGGGAGTGCTCCAAGTTTTCAAGGTTCTTGAGCTGCTTGGCATACCTGAAACTATTGCTTTACCCTGCATAATATGATGAGTACACTGGTAGTCTATGATGAAACTACTAAACACCACTCTCGAGTGAAACATTTTAAGGTCAAACACAACAATATTTCTATGCTTCCAAATGTGCCAAAGAGCAATAGTAAAATTCATCCTCCAATGACTATCATAATCAAGATTAAACTTCAACCAATCCATACCAAAAAAATTATGAAAATTAAAATTAGTTGGCAAGGGGAGTTTAGCAAATATATCCTTCCATAATATTGAAGATGAAAAACAGTCCCTAAATAAATGCAAGTGTGATTCACTATATAGGTTACATCGAGCACATATAGGGGATATAATAGGAAGGATGGTAGCTAATTTTTCAGCTACTGGGAGGATAGTATGCATGATATTCCAGAGCAACATTTTATATTTAGCAGGCACATTAGTTTTCCAAATTGTTTTCCAGGAGTTGAAATAGGAAAAATTAGCATAAGAAGGAGAAATTAGAGATTGGTATGCAGACTTAATAGTAAAAACACCTGATTTGGAAGCTGGCCACTGAATAAAATCTTCACACATTGAGAACTTAGATATAGGAGTAGCAATAATTTCTGAAATCAAAGGAAGAGGAAGTAAATGCTTAATCTCATCAAGGAACCATTCCCCATTCCGAATAATATCCTTCACAAACCAATGAGCTTTACTTGGAGGAACCTCTGTATTTAAAAGAATGTGAATGGGAGATTTACCTACCCAATGATGAAACCATAATGAAGTAGTGGTCCCATCCCCTATTCCAATTTTCAAACCCGAGGCAAGGAGCTTCCTACCCTTAAGAATGTCTCTCCAAATTTGGGAATGAGAAGGCTTAGGAGTGCAATCTAAGAAAGCTGAATTTTTTAAATATTTCTCATTAAAAATTCTTATCCAAAGTTTAGAGGAATTATTCAGTAAAGACCACCCTAGCTTAGCCATGAAACAAACATTCCAATCTCAAAGTCTTCTAATTCCTAATCCACCAGCATCTAGAGGCATAGTAACAAATTTCCTGCCTAACCTTGGCCTATAGTGAATATTATCCACCTTATTCCAAAGGAATTTTCTACATCTTTGTTCAAGTTTATCTAAAACTGAGAAGGGGATTAGATTGGTTTGCATATGATACACTGGATAGAAATTTACAACTGATTTAATCAAAGTACATCTTGCCATCCCCTAATTCTATCCATGGTTTTGTCTAAAAGACCAAAATAATGAGAGGCCTTGAGTTTATTCGGACTGATCTCTATACCCAAATATCAAAAGATGTGGAGCATTTGAAACCAAAATATCCGGCAGTATAAGTCCTCACAGCATGGTTCATTTTTGTAGGAAAAATCATTGAAGATTTACTCTGATTAATCATCAAGCCTGATAAGTCTCCAAAATTATTGATAATATTCATCATTTCTGTGACATTATCAATTGAAGAATTCCCAAATAAAAACACATCATCCGCATAAAACATGTGAGACATAAAGATTGAAGGGGTGATCCTAATAGGCTTCCAAAGACCACTTTTAACATGATTCTCAATCATTATTGAAAGCCTTTCAAGGCACAAAACAAAGATATAGGAGGATAAAGGGTCTCCCTGCCTAATACCACGAGTGGGGGTAAAAAATCACATATTTCACCATTCCACAAAACAGCTATCCTAGGGGTGCAAATACAATTCATGATTAGCTTACTAAGGCTAGTTGGAAAGCCAAAAAATCTCAAAGTATCCTCAATAAAAGGCCATTCTAGGCTATCATAAGCCTTGGTGAGATCAAGCTTTAAAGCACAAATATTCTTTCATTTCTTAGCCTTCTTAAAAACATGTGCAATCTCCTTAACCACTATAACATTGTCCTCTATACCACGACCTGGAATAAAGCTTGATTGAAGAGGATTAATTATATTTGAGAGAAAAGGTTTGATTCTATTAGAGATCAATTTGGTAATCAATTTATAGCTTGTGTTACACAGACCAATTGGTCTAAATTCAGAGATTTTAGAAGAGTTATCAATCTTCGGAATCAAGGCTATGTAAGAGTGATTAACCTCCCCAGGGATCTCACAGGACTCAAAGCAATTCCTAACAAAGCTACAAATCGAGTTACCTAAGTCAGCCCAGAAATGTTGAAAAAATTTAGGTTGCACACCATCTTGTCCAGGGCATTTCATTGGATTCATGTTAAACAAGCATTCTTTAATCTCATCAAAAGAAGGATGACGGGACATAACAATCCTATTAGAATTAGTGAGACTACAAATATTCTCAAAATTGATATTAGTAACAAAAGATTGTAATCGAGATTGAAAAATATCCTTAAAATATTCTGTTGCCAAAGTTTTTAATCTGCCACAATCTTTTATCCAAATACCATTATTATCCAATAAAGCTAAAATCTTCCCTTGACTTTTTTTAATTTTGGCCAAAATATGAAAATATTTCGTGTTATGATCCGCATATTTTCGCCAATTAATGTCGGCTTTTTGAGCCCAAATTATCCTTTCCCTTCTATGAATATTTTCTAATTCTGCTAATAAATCTTTTTCCAAATTACTTAGAAAAATCGATTTATTATAGGCAAGATAATACTGAATTCCATCTAAACGAGCCAAAAGTTTCTTTTTTTCCTTTTTAATATTACCAAAAATATTAGAATTCCAATTCCTAATATTTTTATTAAAATTACCTAGGCCTTCCAAAAAATTATTACTAGCAGAATACCAATTATTTACAAAAAACTTAGCAAATTCAGGGTGTTCTATCCAAACCTCCTTGCACCTCAAAGGGAAGGGACCCTTAACACTCGGATTAGTCATATCAACTAAGAGAGGACAATGATCAGAATAATTTGTATGAGTAAGATGATATACCTTAGTATGTGGAAAGAAATCCAACCAAGATATGCTGGAAAGCGCCCTATCAAGTCTATGCCGAATAAGAGCACCATCCTTCCTAGTGTTTGTCTAAGTAAACGGGGCACCAATGAAACCTAGATCAACCAACTGTCAGTGAAAGCCTTGAAATCCTTGCATTGATTTTGCCTAAAAACCTTTCCCCCAGACTTCTCAGACTGATTGGTAACTTCGTTTAGATCACCTAATAGCAGCCAAGGTGTCTCCTCCGGAGGAATAGACTCCTTCATATTCTGCCAGTTAATATGCCTCTCCTTAGGGATGTTTGATGCATGCATTCCCGTAATGACAACCTCTGGGATATCATTACGAAAATGAAAGAGACCATGGAAGAGATTTCCTTTATCCGAGAAGAAGAGGAGGTCCACTCCACTTTTCCAAAAGATCCAGACGCCTTCTCTACTAGCATTTGGTTCGATTGCCTTATAATCATCAAACCCTAATTTTGTTAAAACGTGAGCAGCACGCGTAGAGACAGCCTTTGTTTCCAGAAAAACAAAGATATTAGGGTGATGAGAATCAACTATATCCTTTGCATGAGGAACAAATTCCTCATTATTCGCACCTCTAACGTTCCAAACTATAATTTTCATGTTTAAGGGAACGATGGAGGGTAGATTTCGAGCCACTATTTGGAAATATTTGAACTGGAATTGGGATGAAGAAGCTGTCCCAATCCTTCCAGTATTCCTTCGCCTGCATTGGACCCACATCCTCTAGCTTGATCGGGGTCATTAAAAGAGGGATCTCTGGAACACCGTTCGGCCGAGGATAATAGCTCACCTGAATTTGAACCCCGACTACCTCCTCCTTGGTTACGAACATAGCTATACGGCGACACGGAACCTCGATGTTGTGTCCTCGAGTGACGAACTCCAAGGGCACGACCTCCATTCTTTTTGGTAATGGAAGACCCTCGTGAACCAGTAGCCTTGGTGGAGGCAGAATTAAATGCTCCTCCTTCCGACGGAGAGAGTCTAGCCATTTCAGGGCACCCTCCATCTCCGTTGGAGGAGAGGGGTAACGGCGAGTCTGGGGAGGGGATGGCAGGAAGTGCGATACCCTCGACTCCGGGAACATGTTGAATGACTAAAAATGTATATATATGTTGAATATAACTAAAAGGGTTTAGAAGGAAGTTACTTTTTTTGTAATTCATTATTTATAAAATGTAGTGTGTTTTGGAGCAAGTGAGTTGTATATTTGATAGCATGATGTCTTATGAATGTTCTCTATGCTGTAAGGCAAGGAATTAATGATGGATAAGTGGGAATTTATCTTGCTTTAGTTGTCTTGAATGTCGAAGGACGATAATGAAAGAATGTTTTTCTACTTGAGGATAAACCGTACTTCGTATATGCAAAGATAGAAATGTAAATGCGAAGTATATAGGAACTCGAGTTCCTTAGCAGCTAGTTAATAGCATTTAAATCACATTTGGAACAAATGGAAAATGATGAAAGTGATCAATGTGGTTTTTTGAAATGAAATCTTCTATCGTTTAAGTTAGAATTTGGGTTGGATGGGAGATCCGAACCCCTACTGAATAGATCAATTGTGATGGAACTTAGCATAGTATAAGCCACCACAATGGTATACAGTTAGTGAAACTATGCCTTATCTTGGTGACACCTTCACTTCTCACTTTCTCAGTTTGTTACTTTGTTTGGGAAACACATTGCTACAAGGAACGTGTTAAAGCTGCTTAAGCGAATGTTTGTTGTAGGCTTGCCTTGTTCATGCTGTAAATATATCATTGTGTCTACAAGCAACTTTTGTGGATTTACACATCTTTCTTTTGTGGAAATATGAGGTAGATGCTAAAAAGAGTGGCTGGATTCAATGGTCTGCTTTAGTGCCTTATTCACCCCTTTACATTGGCAGTTCATTGGTTTGGCCTTTGGGTCTTGACTGCTTAGAAATTTGTCTTCAACATGACCACTCTTTTATTGATCAATGGCCCTTTCTTGGAATGCAGATATTACAAAGATGGCTCAGCTTGTGAAAGTAAGGCAAAGGTTGGAAGTCTATCTCTACTGCTATCCACATTCCTTTTAAAATTGAGCTTTAACTGAGAGTTGCTTTTTTACTCATTTATTACGCATCCTCTGTAGTTTAGAGTTCTGGCATGTGTAAGAGATGCCTCATAAATTTATTTCAGAGCTCTTTCTTTTTCTTAAAGCACTCTAAATTGTTGTTTAATGTGTCAACAAGTCATTACATCAATTCTTTCTCATTGTATAAATAACTAGTTATTAGTCGAGGCAATGCGCCAGATATTATAAATTTGTGAATTTGATCAAAATTTAATTTAGAAGGGCTATTTATTTTCAACAATACTAAAAAAAAAATTGCATCAATTTCTATAGGATGAAGCAAATCTTTACAATTTTGATATTAATACTACTAAAATATTATTCTATAACTTCAGTTTTATGATTAAATAATGAAAAGGACTCAAATTTTTTGGTATAACATCATGAGTAAATATTATGTAAATATGATAATATAATACAAATTAATTAGTCAACCACACTTGAAACTCAAAGTAACAAAGAATGCTAAAGTTACAATAAATCGAGAACATGAAAATGTTAAGGAACAACAAAGAGGTACTACGTATATGCTATTAATTTGCACATTGAGTATACTAACAGATATTTTACAGAAAAACTTGGAAGAATTTTTTGGGTTTTTCTAAGCTATACCCCTAAGGTATCTGAGTTTTTAAGGTGTACCCATGCTTTTTCAAGTTTCTAAGCCGTGCCCTTCAACTTCTTATCAATACTAAAATGTACCCTTATTAGTTATTTAAAAGTTAATTGAGAGTGTGATTTCGTGGCTTTAGTTTTCATTATTAGGGTGGTTGTGGTTAAGATTTCTTTCTCGTATCATTTCCTTACCTTTTATCATCTTTTTATTAAATTTATAGTTTACTTTAGGTGACGTGGAAGTCCCAAAGAGGATACCATTCATTAATGGTAGTGAGTTGATGGGTACAACTTAGAAATTTGAAAAAACATGGGTACACCTTAGAAACTCGACTACCTTAGGGGCACAACTTAGAAAAAAAATCTTATATTAGTCACCTAATAAATATTACATGTACCTTTTATGTGAGAGGTTAGAAAATTAAAAATTATTGTTTACGTGTGGATGTAATGTGCATCTAAGAGTATTTTTGGCTCATTTGATGATCCAAATGAGCAATAATTATCAAAAGGTGCAAAAAATACCCTGGGTTTAGTGAAAAATCTCCGATTGAAATTGTATTATCTGTATTATATAAATGAGAATGTAAACTATAGGCACATACATATTTACATCAGTTTGTATTTAGTTTTCAGCATATTATATAATTATTCAGATGTAAATATTATATTTAGTTTGTGGCCTGAATGCCTCAGATGTTTTTTTCAATTATTCTGGCCAAGGTAATTGTTTATTCATAGCTGTCATTGCATATTTATCTTACTCACTCAACCCCGAAAGTACCGATATGTTATGAAAGATGAAAGAACTCTGTCATCGTTAGGCTGTCTAGGGTCTCTTGACATTATTAATCTCTGATAACTCCTCACTCTTGCAGGGTTGTTGCTACTGCCATCACATATATGAGACGTGTTTATACCAGGTATCTTCAGGAATACTTTTTTTTTGGAGTTGTAATTGTATGTTTTTTCTGGCAAGGAGTAGCGGTCTTCAGAATTGTATGATGGTTTATGCTAGTAAATTGCTTTTGGATTTAGAAATATCTTTAGATGTAGTGACAACTTCTATGCTAGAAAAACTTGTGTAGAAAATATGATTTTTTTTTTTCTTACTCATAGTACTAGGCTGGACTTTTGGGCCTTTGGCTTTCAGCATGAGGGGCACATTTTCTTCCTCCCATCCTGTGAGGATCTTATGTATTGGTTGGACAAATTGACATAATGACATCACATAACATTTGCAGCTACATCACAGTGCATAGGTTTAAGTTTGGGAAGCAAAGTATTCTGATGCAAAACATAACTAAGGTTGAAGTGTGCATCAACTTGATTTGTTTGGTGAATTGTGTGAGCTACATATGTATCTCAGATTTGGTCCGAACTCAAATTTGCTTGTACTCAAGGCACACTTTGACATCACTGTTTGGTACAGATCTGAAGTTTGCTCTCATATTCATGGAAGTAAATTTGATTATCACCTGAAACTTGGTTAGCAGTGTAGTTTGCTAATCATGGTTTCGCAACTTGACATAATGTAGACTTTGACATTTTCCCTTCCCTTTTTTCTGAGAAACTACCTTTTAAATTTGACATTTTTGTGGAAAACTGCCTTGTAAAAAAAAATGTGGTAATAAAATATCTTATAAAACACAAAACGTTGTAAATTGCTACCTTATGCCAGATTTTCCTCGCTGACCTAGTTTTCTGGCGTTGACCATGTCACATGCCTCTCACGTGACATTTAATGACCCCTATTATCACTTTTTTTTTTTTTTCCAAAGCTAGGGCTAACGGAGGAAATCCAGCATAAGGTACCATATTACAAACATTGTGTGTTTTATAAGGTAGTTAGTTACAACATTTTTTTTAATAATGTAGTTTTTTCACAAAATGTCAAATTTACAAGGTTAGTTTCTTACAATAAAAAACCTTTTACCTAACTGGTTTGGAAAGAAATATTGAAAGCTATGAAGTCCTAAAAAATTTGAAACTTGAAAGTTGATTTGAAAGCTGGTGGACTGCATTTCCTAAAAAGTTAGAGAATGCATAAGATTGTCTCAGATTGGAAGTTGATTTCTATTCTTTTTGTTTTGTAATTTGTTTTGCAGGAAGAGTTTGACAGAATTTGATCCACGTCTAGTTGCATTAACTTCCTTGTACTTGGCTGCAAAAGCTGAAGAGAGTACTGTACAGGCTAGACTCCTGGTATTTTACATCAAAAAAATATGTAATACCTGCTACCTCACCATTTGTGTTTAGTGAAGCTCCTTGATGCTCCATTCTTTGGCTGACAAACTGCGTCATGAATTTTGGCAGATCCTGAAGATATACGATACCGATTTGACATCAAAGATATCCTGGAAATGGAAATGAAGATTTTAGAAGCCCTAAACTACTATTTAGTTGTATTTCATCCTTATCGTTCACTTACTCAGTAAGTATCTTGTTCTGTTGTTATTGCTCCTCATCTTCTGATGTTTTATTGGTATCATTATTTTAACATGACTTTATTCGTTGCCTCTATGATGTAGGAGAGAGAATTAATCTGTATAATTAAGATCTCTAATACTAGCCCTTGATCTCAAATTCTCAATTAATTAGATGTCTTACAAATATTTGAATTTAATTACAAATATACCCCATCAATCTGAAAATTTATTTGCTGCACCTTGTATTCATGCATTTGTTGTTCATGGGAACATTCAGTCGTATGATCTTCTATAAATTTTTCTGCATTGAATATCTCAGCATATTTCTTTTCATCCTTTTACAGATTTCTCCAAGATGCTGGTATGATGGACCTAATGCAGTTCACTTGGTAAGATTATAACTTGGAAGTTACTGTCACAGAGGAATAACTATCAGTCTATCTCTCACACACACACAATTAACCCCCTTTACCAAAATAAGTATTTATGAATCTGCATAGCATTATTGAATTATCAAAATTGTTGGTTTTTAGAACAGGCATTGTTAAGAAATAAAAGCCTTCACGAGGATTGTGCGACTCATATACCATGTTTCAATTATGCAGGGGAATTGTCAACGACACATATAAGATGGATCTTATTCTAATCCATCCTCCACATTTGATCGCATTGGCATGCATATACATAGCTAGTGTGTCAAAAGATAAAGATAGTGTTGCTTGGTTTGAAGAGCTTCGAGTTGACATGAATGTGGTTAGTATTCACAACATATTTTCCCTTCTCAATATTCACAGGTGGAAGCAATAGCAAACTCATTTTTATGTAAACAATTCTTTTCACATCAACAAAAAACAAAAAAAAAAAAATTCATCTATGCACATGCTTTTTGCCCATATAGAGAGCATGATCATTAACTTTTAATACATATAATTTTAGGTGAAGAACATCTCAATGGAGATACTAGACTTCTATGACAGCATGAAGAATAACATTGAAGAAAGGGTCAACGTTATATTCGGCAAGCTGCCTTCAAGATCATAACGATTCAGCCAGACCAGTGATTCTCAGTAGTTTTGTTTATGCTCGTGATAAGATTTAGCTGTAGTTTTGTGTAGATTGATAGAAATTCACCTGTTATCTCTAAAGTGAGCATGTAGATGCGTAGAGCCCTTGCGTTTTTCTGGATAATGTTCAATTGCAACCATGAGGCATGTTGCCAATCAATTGACCATCACACAATAATTTGATTAATTTCTCTGTTCTCTCATCTGATTTTGTTAATATATTGTCAATTGTAGGTTGTGAGATATGCTGATTTGCATTGAAATTAATCTATCAAGACTTACGAGTTCCATATTTATTGTAATATGCAAACATACTTACAAATTTCATCCACCAAAACTATATGTAATTGAACATTCATTCTAGCATATGATCCACAATTACAGACAACTAAAAGGATTTACAAGAACTGTTCCCACGGCAAAAACAGGACCAATTGTCAATCAGCAAAGTTAAACATATTGTCTTGCAACTTGGAGCAGAGTTTCAAATGGGCAGAATATCACCGATTTGTACCCTCTTAAGATCAAAAAATCCACTGCCATGACAACGTATATAACCGCCATTGCCTTCCAAATCTTCAAGTTGTTCCTCTAGGTCTTCCCCTGTTTCTTGGCTAGCTTTTTAGCTGAAGATGCAATTCAAACAATCAGAAATTATGTGGAAGTAAATCAAGTTAGTAAAGACATAGATTAAACATGTATCTATAAAGCTACTTAATCGTTTTAATTCAAGCTTATAAAGCTACTAACAAGTTTTGGATTTCCAAATGCAAGCTTAAGGTTTTAATTTTGTTTTTGACTTCACACCACTTGATAGATATGATCATCAGGTCCCTAACTTTCGTTGCCAGAAACTAAAGCCAAATGCGTCTATTACTATCTTGAGTTGAGACTCGAGAGTTGAGACCGATGTCAATTTATGTAGATTCTTTTCCCCAATACTCTAGACAAATTTTACAAAGAAAACATTTACCTTCTCTCCTTTTGGCTTCAGATTTCGCAAAAAACTCCCTCCATTCATCTGTCATAACAAAAATCGGATCCTCATCATCTTCAATCTCTTCAACTTCATCAAGACCATCATCTTGGAAGTACCTTCATGATTATTAAAAAATGCAAAATGATCAATTTAAAGTAATACCAAGAAAAACCTCAAAAATAATAAATCCAAATTGGTAGAAGCCCCTCTCCTTAATATATTAGAACCAAAATATTGAAATTTTCCTAATACAGTGCACTCTCAGTTACAGTCCTTTAAGAACTAGCTAGTGAGCTTAAATTCAACTGAGAAACGAATACGAGTAAATTGATTTTTTACAAACAAAACTCGAACCTTCATATCATATTAACAAGCAAAGATGGAGTTGAGCCTCAAACATTTATCAACTTCCTTTCCAGTATTACCATAACCACATAACTTGATCATACTCTTGATAGTTGATACAATCATACAAGTCATGAAGTTAGAATTTTTTTGGGGTATTTTGACAAGAGTGTGCCTTACATTCGAAGTGAAGTAGTTGTAATGCCAATTGTTAGAAAAACACCTCTTTAGAGTTGCAACAATTGGAGTAAACTTTTGGGGAATAATGGCCTAAGTATTAACAATTTAAAGATAGAAGTTCATGATTTTAGTATTGCTGCTCGATTAAGTCCATCAATACACCAAACAAACTAAAAAAAATTCTTGGTCTTTAAAACAAATTTGTAGACTAATAATTCCAAATCAATGCTAGAACCCTAAATAAAGAGGAAATTAAGGGAAAGCATAAAGAGTCAAATGAAAATGAAACACAATTTACACAAACATGATTAAAAACAGGGTATGTTGATAATAAATAAAATAAAAGATTAGAGAAAAGAAAGGTGAAAAATCTTACAGGGTATGTTGGGAAGTGTGAGATGGTTGAAACCCAGAAAACCCAAGATTGGGATTGGTCTGGGAAGGAAGAGGGATTGCAGATTGAGGGATTTGGGGAGGTGGGTTGATAAAATTAGGGCAAATTTTAGAATTGGGGTTTTGTGGAATAAAGTTGCATTGAGGAAGAACATGGTGGTGGTGGGGATGAGGGGAGGTGAGAGAACAGGGCTGGATTATTATGAAGTGATGGTGGTGGTGGTGGTGGTTGTTGTTGTGGTGGTGGTGGTTGTTGTTGTGGTGGTGGAGAGAGCATTGATGTTGTTCCATTTTAGTGTTTGCTTAATGTTGATGGTGAGTCTATTGACTTCTAAGAATCTCGCAAATCCTCACTTGCACTAGAATCACAAGGTTAATTTCCTCAAAGAAAAAAAAAATCAAAAAATCTAGGAGGTAGGAATCGGATTTGAAATTGGTTAGTAATCAATCAAAATCTAATTAGGGTTTATTTACTTCAGTTTAATTTCAGTTCAGTTCAGTTTATAATTTCTTTCTTTTCTAAAAAGTTCAGTTCAGCTCAGTTCAGTAAGGGCCTATTCACATTTACTTAAATTCAATTCAGTTTAGTTCAGCTCCAATCAGTTCATTTCAGCTCTTAATTTCCCTCTCTCATAAAATATTCATTTCAGCTCAGTTCAATTCAGTTCAGCTCCAATCAGTTCAGTTCAGTTCAACTCATTTCAATAAACGTGAAAATGCCCTAAATGTGAATAGGCCCTTAGACAAATCAATTACTCCCTTTGTTTTCCAATGATAGTATCAATCAGATAAAATAAGAAAAGATGAATATTTGAAATCTAACATTAAAGTTAAAATCAGTTCATAATTAGTTTTGTCTTATTTAATTATTATTTTTTTTAAAGAAAAGCATCAGCCATTATACATAATTCAAGTAAGTGATTTGCTAATTTAGAGTCATGTTATTAATTCACAAGCTTTGAATATATTATAATATGGGTAGATTTTGTATAAGACTAACAAATAGAAACAGAGGGAGTAAGGTCTTGTTTGGTTCATCTTATTTTTGCTTATCTGAACTTATCTGATCTAGTCTAGTCTGGTCTGATCTGATTGTCTGATTTGACCAAACTTTGACCTTATGTGTACGATAATCTATAAAGAAAAAATATATCAAGTGTGGTCTTGTTAGATTCGTAATAATGTGTATTTTATCAATATGTAATTTTCATATTTTTTTTCATCACGGAATGAAAGATGATTAGCGATAAAAAAAACTGCACATAAAACGATGATCTATACTGAACTTATTTTTTCTGATTTGATCTGGTCTGAACTTATTTTTTCTAATTTGATATGAACTTATTTTTTTTTAAAATAAGTAAAAATAAGGTGAATTAAACAAGGCCTAAGGATCTGTTCTCATACGTTGAAATTCAGTTTAGTTCAGTTCAGCTTTTAATTTCCTTCGCTTATAAAATATTTAGTTCAGTTCAGTTCAGTTCACCTTCTAATTTCCTTCTCTTATAAAATATTCAATTCAGTTCAGCTTCTAATTTCCTTCTCTTATAAAATATTCAGTTCAGTTCAATTCAATTCAGTTCAGCTGAGTTCAATTAATGAGAACAGGAGCTAATTCATTATAAATAGTCTTAACTTAGAAAGAGTATAACTAATAATTGGTCTCTAACATATAAGTGATGCACAAAGTATTACACATCAATATTGAGCTTAATTATTTCATTCTTTTCAGATTGCATATTTAGCTATGCATAACTAGGTCCATGATATAAATATTGTCATCAAATAGGCTACTTGAACCAAATTGAGATCCACATTATTCTTATAATAACTCCCTTGACCATAGACATTTCCACTCATCTCAATTCTCAAATGTCATTGCTCCACTTTCCTCATTTCTTTATCCTTTGCTTTAATTGAAAGGGTGGTTTTGTTTAAATTCAGACTCAATATCCTTCTCACTTTTCCAAGTATTAAAATGAAAATGCACTAAATGTATGCTTTAAACTTCAAAATTACTGAATTTCACTTTACTTAAACTTATTTCAGTTAATTTACACTAATCATCCTAGAGTATTTTAGTTCTCGAGAAAATGGATATGATTAAATGAAATTCCCGCTGACTTTCTTCAAAAAAAAAATATCACTAATCAAAGCTAATTGTTCTTAGTTGCATTGTAATTATTTTTAAAAACTTATCCAGATTTATTTAAACTCATTAAGGGCTTGTTTTGATTGACTGAACAGAACATAAATGAATTTATTAGAGCTGAAATGAACTGAACTGAATTGAATATTTTATGAGAGAAAGAAATAAAGAACTAAATTGAACTGAACTTATTGGAACTGAACTTATTGAAACTGAACTGAACTGAAAATAGTTTGAATAGAACAGACTCTAACCTATTTTGAACTTATCTTAACTTAACAAAACAAAGCCAATATCAAATATATCATACCCATGATATCATTAACATGAAAAAGGAACTAAAAAAGAGTTGGTTGGGTATCCCTTTAGCATGTAAAATTGTTGACAAAAGTAAGTGCAAATTCAGAGTTGATAATAACAAGCAATGGTTGGTGGAGCAAAGATATTTGATATTTAGATATAAACATGCTCCGGGCCCAACTATTAATAAAGTAATAAAGTTAAATCAAAAGGCAAAGCCAATTTGTATTTGTTGCAAAAACGTAAACTATGGATAATATTATATGTAGTCTTAAGGGCTATATATAAGGATTAAATACACTTTTGGAAATGATATAAAATTAGGAATTCATGATAAAAACACGTATAAATCAGTGTAATTAGTGTTTATATTTTTACGATTTCTTAATTTTTTACGATTTTCCAGTAAAAAAGCAAGATCCTAAATTAAATACAACAAAAAGTATTTTAGTAAGATTATTAAGTTTCTTGTTAAATGGGTTGGTAAACATTTACCTTTCTTCTTGAACACATAACATTCTAGTATTCTACTACATAACTACTATCAATTGCAAGGGACCAATGGTCCATACCAAACTAACCAAAGTTCCCATCAACTTTCTTACTTTCTCCTCTTTATAGCATTCATTCAACTTTTTTTTTTTTTTTTTTTCTCCTTTTTATTTTCGTTTGGCAAATTGTCAATAGTCAATGGTCGTTAAGTGTATGTCTTATTGGGCTGCTTTTCCGATTTTTGTCATCAATTATGGACCACGACTTAAAAATTAAAATTCCAATAGATTAGGTTCTTTTTTTTTGAGGGCAATAGATTAGGTTCTTTTATCCTAGGCCACTTTTTTCATTTTATATACATATCACTTACTATATATTTAGTTAATTGATAAATATATAATTTTCTTACCCGAAATTAATAGTAATGTTGACGATAAATCAAATTATAAATATATAAATCAAATTATTAATGTGATAATTTAAAATAATCAAGAACGTATGACGTAATCATGTGTAATGTATGTGATTATATTTGATGCATGTGTGATGGATAGCTCCCCTCCTCCCCTTATTTACATTTTGTTTTTACTGGACCCGTCTTTTTCCTAGTATGCCACAAAATACTTGTATCCTCATAAATTAAAAATAAATAAAAATGGGAAACAAAAAGAGAGATAAGAAGCATTGGCAATGAGACGCCCATAACGGCAATTTTGTCTTTTTATAAATTTGTATTCATAAGGATAATTGTGAATTCGTAATTATTGATATGAATTTTTTTAGTGAAGAAAGTAGATTAGTACTCGTGAATTGCACGATTTAATTAGCATTAAAAAAATCAATAAGAGAGTGTAATAATTAACCACAAAATGAGGGTTTTTGAAAAGAGAAAAATCATTAATATGTTTTTGATTAATTGATGTTCACACTTTTCTTTATTTTTAAGAATTATTTTTTCCAATCTTGAATTTTGAAAGACAAAAATAGGAAGAAAAAAAAAATGATGATGTCATAAGCAAATTGGAGGAAAATTTTTTAATGATAAAATGACATGTGTACACAGGTGATGTAAACGGTTTTTTTCTTTAGTTATAGTTATAAGATTTGGAAATCAATGAAAATTTCGATTAGTGAAGGAAAATGAATTATCAAAGTCCATAATGTTATATACTCATATAGCTACATAATATGATTTTACTATTGTAAAAATTAGTTTCAATAATCTCAACTTCGAGTGATTTTCTTTAACAATCTCAATTTTCGATTATTCTGAAATAATTATAGCTTTAGGGTTCATTTTTTTCAATAGGCCAGGTAATCCACAACCTGATGAAAGGTAAAAAAAAAAAAATTCAAAACAAAGAAACTTTGCCACATGTATCATGCTAATTGGTCCAAGAAAATTAAATAGAAATACATAAAGGAAACTAAAGCCGGTCACCTACCACCGCAATCCCACTACCCCTCCTCCTTAGCTCTATCGAAAACCATACCCCCCTTACCCCCAAATCAACTTATTATATAGGACAATAGGAGAGCCACCCCAAAAGCTAGCTTTAGGGGAGGAGAAACCATTGTCCTATATAAATTCCACATCAACCCCCCGCATGACTGATGTGGGACTCGAGTCCCATACCTTGCAATGGATAGTCCTATAACATTCGCCCCTCCTTCAAGGACTGACGTCCCCTCGTTGGTCACGACTGGCTTCATCGAGGCTACCAACTCCGTGGGCCACCACTCCGAGGTTGGCTCTTTAAAGGATCGATGTCTTCTTGGTCACAGCTAGTGTCTTCCAGGACACCAACTCCGTGGGCCACCATTTCGAGGTCGGCTCTAATACCATTGATATAGGACAGTATGAGAGCCACCCCAAAAGCTAGCTCAAGTTGAGGAGAGTCCATTGTCCTATATAAATCCCATATCAACCCCCCATATAACCGATGTGGGACTCAAGTCTCTTACCTTGCAATGGATAGTCCTATAACATTAAACCATCTTCGTCCTCGAAACCACCATTTCGTCACTCTATACTTTCCCTCAAAAACACGCAGCCCACCCCTTCCCTGAAACTTCTGAATCATTTCATTCCTTTCCCAAAATCACCGCAGCCCCACCCCTTTCCCACAAAACCACCACATTTAAACTTAGGTTCGTTTTCAAGGGAATTACGCATGGTTGGGTTTGGGATCTAGGTGGGGCTAGGGCTTGATGTCTTACAAATTTGCTCAAAAGTTGAGATTATTAAAATAATTTTTTCCAAACTAATATAGTTACATAATATAATTATGCATTAGTAGACTCCATATGTCTTACAAAATTTTGATACAAATGATAATATGAGGTGTTGATCAATTGCTTCCTTAACTTAGAAAAATCCACCTCCATCTAATATTCACGTTAGCTACACCACCTATTACCCGCTATAAGATTCCCCTCGCTTATCAGCCCATAGTGGGCGGATATAGGCGGGGCAGGTATAAGCAGCTGTATCCTAAAATTCACACCCAGTTCGTAGTTGTGATGGTACAATTTTTATCCACACCTCCATCGTATTACACACCATGATACATCTCCTTTTAAAACTGTCACATTAGCAATATTGTATTATATACATCACTAATTAAATGTACTACTACCTTCATTTTAAAAGGTTTGCAACGATTAGACATTTTGTACTCATATTTTATGTCAAATCATTTCAAATAATTTGAAACGGAGGTAGTAGTTGTTTGTATGCTCCATAATATTGTTTGAAAGATAACTATTGATAGTTTGTCTTAGTGGAAAGAAGTGAGGTTCAATCCCCGCTAATAACAATTTGTGAGAGGGAATTTCCTTACCTCCCCCCCACTCATTTAAAATTTCTAACCTGTTAACTTGGGCTAGGTTATCCCATTAGGGGTTCCGTCCTTGTGCCCTTCATCTTACCTACTATAGAGTAAGTGAAAATGAGAATGAGAATTTGGGGGATAGATGCTGGGAGAAGGAATGGGAATATGTCGTTGGGAATTCATAAAAATAAGAACAATCTCTTCTTTAGATGTAAATAGATATGTATGGAATATACTATAGATTTACAAAATTAACCTCATTTTTATTTCTCTACTTACCAAATCATTAAAAACATTTTTGTCATTTCTCCACATTTTCTCAATTCTTATTCCTAAAACTCCATACTTACCTCCTCGGTAATATTTTGTTGGGAATAGAGGAATATAATTCCATTCTCATTTCCATCTTTATTCTCAAACCCAATGAAACGAACGTAGAATTTTCCTTCCCATCTTTATTCTCAAACCCAATGAAACGAATGTAGAATTTTCCTCCACTTAGATTTAAAATCCGATTCCCTTCCTAAACTCTCACATACCAAACAATTCCCATAGGGGAAAAAAAATACTAGTAAATTCAACCTAGCTTGGTTTTCAGAAATTTCTTAAATCAAAATTGAGTAATTAAATAAAAAAAAAAAGTCCATAAAATTTCAAGATCTAGTACCAATTTAAGGTAGCCCCACATTGTGAGACACAGCCAAAATAACCCTATATAATACTGCTTCAGCCCCAACTGACCCTGCGCCATTCCTCCTTTCGCCTTCTCCACATCTTAACCATCTCTCTCTCTCTCCATAAGCGTGCTTTTCGAGAGATAGGGTGCATGTTTGTCTTTTTCTCTCATGAATATTGAATCATACAACAAATTTCTGATTCATTCTTCCTTAATTTTATTCATCTGGGGCTAAGATTTTGCACTGCTTTTACCTGATTTCTGATTGATTTGTTTGAATCTGTGCCTTTTCTCATCTGGGTATCAATCAGATTTTGTTTTGGTTGTTATTTGTTAGGATTTTTGGTGCAAAAAGATTATATATTTTCTGGGTTTGTTGTTGTTTTTCAATGGGCGCTTTAGATGAGGGTCATTTTGACGTGGAACTTGAAAATACTTTGAACTTGGGTGTTGAAGAAGAAGAACCAGAAATTCAGGCTGCTGTTAGAGTTTTGCTGCAAGGTTTGGGTGAAGATATCAATAGGGAAGGGATTAAAAAGACTCCGCTTCGTGTTGCCAAAGCGCTTCGACACGCTACTACAGGTGATTGTTGATTCAGCTTTGATGTTTAAACTGTTCCGATATAATTGTCACATTGTTTCGACCTCTAATAAATAAGAATATGATATAGTTGTAAAATTGTTTCGACCTCTAATAAATAAGAATATGATATGATTTTATTGAAACATAAGACTTTAAGAATGTTAGAAAATCATTTTGATGTTATTAGAACACGTGACAACTTTTTCTGATCATCCTATTAAAAAAATTGTTTGTGAGTGTGTGACTGTTATGGTTGTAACATTTTTTTTTGTAGGGGCTCTACGGGAGTATGTAATTGGGAGCTGTTATATGTTGTGTGCTTAACATAAAGAAGCTTATATAAAGTAAAGTTCTTGTTTTAATAGATTTGATTTGTATTATTGTCAAAGAATAAATGGGATAAAGAATGTTGATAGATGATATATATAGTATACCCAAAAGAGGGAAAGTGGAAAGTGTGAAGTTAGGAAATTATTTTGCTATGTTTCTGTTTCCCTTCTTGCTATCTTTTTTTTTTTTTTTTTTTAAAACATAATCTTGTAAATAGAGCATTGGATAATGTTCTTTCAATTCTTAATTATGGTATCATTATTTTTGTTTCCAATGATTGCCTTATTTGTTGAAATGGAGAAGAGAATTAGACACTTAAATAAGAATGAATTCCTATGTGAATTTGTAATTAGAATCCTATGTTGATCAATACCCTTGGTAATGCTAGTTCACCTCAAAGTATCTCTTTTTAACCATTAATTTTCACTAGCAGTTGAGGGGTCATGATAATTTATAGAGAACATACAAGTTTGGTAATGTGATTGCATTACCATGGATTTTAAGATAAAAAAAACTGTTAAATTACACTATGCAGTCTTATTGCCGTCTACCAAACAAGCCGTAAAAGAGCTGTATTCGGTCAATGGGATCATGAGAATAAGATATATATTTTTAAGTCAGCCCTTGAAGAAGAAAATTTGGTGTGTGAAGAACCTGCAGTTAGTAATTTATGTCTTTTCCTAGATTTATGCTTGTAGCTCTAGTGGCTATTGTATTAATTTTGGTAATAGATAATCCCGGGACTGAGGTAGATTGCATGTGAAGAACCCTGTGCTTTTCCTCTAGATTATAATGATTTTGAGTGGAAGGTGGAACGAATGATGAAAAACCCTGCACTATAATGCTTCTCCTTTAGCCATTATTGGGAACTACAGATCTGGAGTGGATGGAGGAATGTATGATGTTCACCTATTCAGTTATTTTGTATATCGAGTTTGTTGTGATCTGTTTGTTGTCTTACTTTTTATGCCTAAAGAGTAACTGCCAAGATTCATTATTTGTTGCTTGAGAAGTTGATAATTGAAAGCTATGTGGTAGCGATATGATTGTTATCAACCTGTCCATTTCAGGCTGTAATTGATAACTTGAAAGGGCATAAATGAATGTTTGAAATAGACTTTTTGGATGTTAAGATATCTAGTTTTAGATTCCTAGTCTTCTATACTCAATTTTGCAGTCCACTGTGTTAGAAATTTAGCTTGTTAGAAATTTAGCTTGATGGCACATAAGTTGTTTTAGACATATATTGATGAGCCAAGTCCATTTAGTAGTCTATGTCATTCACAGTTGATAGTTGATTCTTTTTGATGAATTATTATAAGATGTGCTGATATAGTTCTTACTTTTCCAGGGTACAAACGGAACGCAAAAGACATTATAGAAGGTGCTATTTTTCCAGAAGCAGGTCTAGACAATAATAGAATTGGCCATGCTGGAGGAGCAGGGGGTCTTGTTATTGTTCGTGATCTTGACCTCTTTTCATATTGTGAGTCGTGCTTGCTACCATTCCAGGTGAAATGTCATGTGGGCTATGTTCCATCTGGGCAGAGAGTTGTTGGCCTTAGCAAGCTTTCTCGGGTTGCTGATGTTTTTGCTAAGCGCCTCCAGGATCCCCAACGGCTAGCTGATGACATGTGTTCAGCGTTGCAAGATTCCTTAAAGTCAGCTGGTATTGCTGTGATTCTTCAGTGTCATCACATACATTTTCCCGCTTTAGAGTCTATGTTCCTGGACTCATCAACTGAAGGGTGGATAAAAGGGCTGGTATCCTCAGGATCTGGAGTTTTTGAAGATGAAGATGCTAATATTTGGGGTGAGTTATTTAGTCTTTTGAAATTTCGAAGCTCAATTGCTGATAAAATTCAAAAGAGAAACTCGAGCAATCATTGGTGCCCGTCTCAAGCTTCCACATTGAATAAAATTTCATCCAGTGTTGGAAAGGCACACCCTCCTAGTATGGTTAGTGCAGTCACTTCCATTATCAGATCCTTGGGCGAAGATCCATTAAGGAAAGAGCTTGCTTGCACTCCCGCTCATTTCTTGAACTGGCTGATGAATTTTCAGAACTGTAATATGGATATGAAGCTGAACTCATTTGTTTGTAATAAAGCAGGACCTCAGAAATCAAATGGCACTTCAATTATAAGCAGGCAGATCCATTCTGAGCTGAATTTGCCCTTTTGGTCACAATGTGAACATCATTTACTTCCATTTCATGGAGTAGTGCATATAGGTTACTCTTCTGCTGAAGGGGTACATCCCATTGGGAAGTCCCTTCTTCAGTCAATTGTGCACTTTTATGGATTCAAGCTGCAGGTGCAGGAGAGGTTCACTAGACAAGTTGCTGAGACAGTTGCACCTCTTCTTGGCGGGGACGTGATAGTTGTTGCAGAGGCTAGCCATATGTGCATGATTTCTCGGGGTATTGAGAAGTTTGGAAGCAGCACAGCCACAGTTGCTGTTCTAGGTCATTTTTCAACTGATGCAAAGGCCAGGGCATTGTTTTTAGAAAGCCTTCCCAGCATGAACAATTATTAAGGATGATATTTTCAATCAAGGAATCACTCGGCCAATTTTTCTCTAGCTTCATTTGGCCTCATATCTGGCAAGGCAAGCCAGACTTCATCGCCATAAGTTTTACAGGCTGCAATAAGAAGAGATTTATTTGAATGGAAATATACAGCAGGGTGATCTAGAAAGTTGAGTTTTTATTTTCTCTCATTTGTCCTACTGCATCAATGTGCCCTTCAGAAGAGATTTTCCTATTTCATTATGCCTCTATAGAGGGCAGTTGGAATTTTGAGTTCCATATAGTAGTTCTTACACAGAGGTACAGATCATGATCTCAATGCACATTTGAACTCAGAAAAAAAACTGGTGATTCAAATTTTGTACTGATTAAAACTATACTGCTTGAGAAATTTCTCTTGTGTATACCTTCCTTGCATCCTTTAAATGATGATCTTTTTTTTTTCCACAAGAATTGTTCTTTTGAATTGTACAAGGAGAAGTTCTAGCTCAGATTAATGGCTACTTTTTCCAATTTTCTGTATTGCAGCAGATTCTATCAAATCATCAATAATTACGTGTGCATTTCACCATGTCCATAATCACTAAATGAAATGGGAGGGGGGGGGGGGAATAGGAAAGACCTATCATCACTCGCCTATGCTCAGTGGGTCAGAGTCAGGTCAGGGCTTTTTAATGGGGCGCCGCCCCATTGCACACACCTATGTTCAACCCATCAAGGAATCAATAATGCCTCCTCTTCCTCTTATGACGGTGGGTGCTGGGTGGCGATTCCTCCTTCCCAAACATCAGTTATGAATAATGGGAGGTGAGAGAATTCTATATTCAGAAATCCTGCTATGAATTTGATGGATCATCAATCAGAATTTATAAACCCCAATATTAGAAATAATGATGCTGGTTCAGGTAAGTATTTTCTTGTGCATAGTCCATGTTTTTCATATGTTTTCCTAATACATGCTAATGCTATGTACTGATTTATGTAAAACTCATGTTAATGTATACAGCATGTTAAATCTTTGATATCCAGTTGTATTTGAGTTTTTTCAGTTATTCCGGTAATTTCTGGTGAATATGGTTTCTCGATTTTACTTGATGAATTTACATTTATACCACCTTTTCTTTCAGGTGTAAAAGCAATTTGAAGATCCCACCATTGAAAGAAATTTGAAAGCTGGTCGTGGTGAGATTAAAAAAAGATTACAAGTTTGAAACCATTAGCCATGGTCAATCAGGAAACTGGTTAGTTACTTATTGGGTTTTTCTAAGCTGTACCCCTAAGGTATTCGAGTTTCTAAGGTGTACCCATGTTTTTTCAAGTTTTTAAGTTGTGCCCTTCAACTCCGCATCAATACTAAAATGTACCCTTATTAGTTGTATAAAAGTTATTTGAGAGTGTAATTTCGTGGCACCAGTTTTCATTATTAGGGTTGCGGTGGCTAAGATTTCTTTCTCCTAGCATTTCCTTACCTTTTTATCATCTTTCTATTAAATTTATAGTTAACTTTAGGTGACGTGGAAATCCCAAGGAGGGTACCATTCAGTAATGGTAGTGAGTTGAGGGGCACAACTTAGAAACTTGAAAAAGCTTGGGTACACCTTAGAAACTCGAATACCTTAGGGGTATAGCTTAGAAAAACCCTTACTTATTTTATCATACAATTGCAAATAATTTGAAATATTGCTACTGTTGAATGCTGATGGTTCGCAATTTGGAGTTACTCATGTTATAGAGCAATTGAGATTAAAATTTCATTTACTCGTCGTTCTTAGTGTAGATGGTAAAGTTTGGGTCTAACTGTCTGCTAAGTGTAGACAGTAAAGTTTCCTCTATGGAAAACTTCTAAAGTGGGGGGATACTTGTGCAAGCCTATAAAAAGAATATCAAATTTTGAGAATGTGGCATCTAAAATGTTTTCCTTAGCAAGGAAATGCCTGTATTAGTGTTGTGTTCCCTCTGAAACCCCTTTGGTTTTAAGGTAGCGAGCGAGAAGTCGGCAACTCAATTTTACAGGACACAAACCTTCTATTAGCACATGGAAATTGATCTAAGCTGCATCTTCGCTCTTCTACACCCCCCCCCAAACAAGGGTTTGTCTTTCTAGACCTTAATTATGAAGCGGGTTGGGGGGGGGGGGGGGTGACGAACTTAGGACCTATATCTCAGCTTTAAAGGAAACTTGATCTGTGGGCTCACTTGTTCAAGGTTCGCGGTGGCTAGTTTACATTAGTGACATTCCTATATAAAAGCAGAAAACATGTAGAAGATATTGAAGGCTTAGAATTTGATTCTAGGCAAGTCTTTCTAGATAAAATTCATTATTGTTGAAACTGTTTTTAAACTCATCACTGAGGCTAATATATAGTTGTGATTTTAGGTTTAATAAGAATTTTGCAAATTCAATGTGCTACTACTATATTATCTTAACTATGGTAGATGACAGATATATTTAGTAGGAGATGAGGTTTTCTGCCAATATTGTTGCAGCCAACTGCCTAGCAGTCTAGCACACTCTTATTACAACATTGAAATGAGAACCCTTCACATCTCTTGTAGCTGCTATTAGCCTATTACTACTGCTTGCCTTCATCTTCTATGGTTCTACTGCGCATGTTGCTGTAGTTCGTTGTTCCTGTTGTGAGTTTCTGCATATCTTATATTTCTCCCTGAAACCCTTTGAAAGTCCATCAGGTTATTAGAAGCCACCCTTCTGATTTTTAAGTTAAGTAGTGTTAAAGATCATTTTTCCGTAAAACTTAAAATCATGCAATTCATTAAGTTATTCATTAAGTTTTGAAGTTAAAAATTGAATTTCATCTAATAGATTTCTTAATATAAAGCCATTTTTTCATTAACACTGTGGACTGTGGAGGCATTGCAATTTTTAAAGTTTTTATCCATGAATCTGGGTAGAAGTTGTTGCTAAATTTCAAGAACTTGTGCATTTCCCATGATATGTACTCTGTAGATATTATCTTATCAAACTTGCAGGCTTGACAAGTTGACATGGATTTCAATTGACATTGGTGAAGATCTTTCTCTTGATAGTTGTCTATTTACAATGTGGATATTATATTTGTAAATTCGAACTTGCTAACGAGCGTCTCAGGCGTTAAATGAATCCAAAAATTCTAGAATCTTAATAATGAATTTGGTTATTGACAGAAGCTTGTCTATTCAATATTATTGTAATTTTCAGTTTTTTTTTAAAAAAAAGTCATACTATGTCATATGAAAAGTTTAAAGGAAAAATTGACATGATTAATCCCAATTTTGACTCATCCGTCTAAATTATTCTCAACTTTGGATTTTTTTTTTTATTAATCCTTTTGCTCATAACACTTCCAGATGACCAGTAAGTCAGTAACCTGTGAGAAAGTAACTGTTTTTGTTAAGTTTAATACTCCCTTCGTTACACATTACTCGCAACAAAGGAATATTTTATGTTTCACAGTGGGAAAAAAAAAATACTAGAGCTATGGGTCTACAGCTAGATTGAAACAAGGACCCAATAATGGCAGCCCACAAATTGTATGATACCACCACCAGTCCAACAACAAGCACATAGGCCCAAAAATAAACATCCCTTTACTGTTTACACCGTCCACATAGGGACCCACCGCTTAGTATTTCCCTTTAACAATTTTTTCCCTTTATTTATTTTATCATATCCTAATTTATCACTAAAAATTCAGAATATTTAAAAAGGGATCAATATCATGATGGGTTGGCGTATCTATAGAAGCCCCTTTTTATTCTTATTCAATGAGGGATTGAGTGAAAATTTTAAGGTGCAGGCGGCTGTACCTTGCTTGGTACAGCCAAAAAATGCAAAAAGATACAATTATTTTGTAAAGAACATATAGTTATTTTGTAACGAACATCCAATTTTATATATTTTTTTCATATCTAAAGAACATCTGCAATATTAATAAAGAACATGATAATATTTTGTAATAAACTTTATCTATATATAACTACCCTAATTTGAAGACAATTTCTTATCAAGCAATGATCATTATGTTGCAAATAAAGTACATTACACTGACTGATCAATGAACATAAACATATGTTCTTTTTATTTATTTTTTTTGGTGCAAATATGTTTTTTTCACTCTAGGTATATGTTCATTTAATAGTATGTTATTTTTACTTTAGGTATATGTTCATTACATTTTAATAGTTTGTTCTTTTCAGTATAACTATATGTTCATTACTTTTATATATCATGTTCTTTTCTACAAAACGACTGTACGTTGCACCGTACAGGCGCCTGTAGGAACCAGCTATTGGGGATTGAGAGGTAGCCAAAACTTAAATGTAAATATGAATTTGAGGATCATCAATTTTCACTAAATTAGGTTTTATTCCAAAATTAATTGATAATAGAACAAGTAATCTCTAACATTTATAAGGTGAGATATTTTCATTTTGTTTATATAATTTACATGATTATTTGAAAAAGAAAAAGGGCATAATTAAACGTTATGCATTTCAAATTTTCAACGTTAACCCATCAAGAAAGTGGTGATAAGGTGGAAGATGTTTCATGTGTTGGATGTTTTTGATGGTTAACTCTAATTTTTAAGGAAATTGGATTGCTGACTAGTGCATGACATTTCTCTAATGTAAAATAAAGACTGAACTAAGTCTCTAAAAAAAATAGTTGTGTCCAAAAAATGCACTTGCAACATTATTCGACCAACCACCATTAAACAAACAACATTATTGATGATCTTTAACTTTACATATAAAAAAGAAAACTATATTGTATTTGTTATCCAAAATAGTGCTTAGTACAATTTTCTAATCTCCTAATCATTAACCTTAAATCCTATTATTGGATTGATAAATTTATAAGATTTATATAACAAAGGCATGAAACATTAAAAATTGCATCCACTGATATCATATCACTATCAAAATCGGATTTGGACAGCTTAGGAAACCAACGATTTCTAGTAAAGTTGGAATTTAAATATTAAGGGCCTTAAGGCATTTCATAATAAGCCAAAACTATAGTTAAATTAATTAACCACTCTTTTAATTAACATCAATTATTAGTCAAATTAATTGAAAAACTCGTTACAAACAAAACTTAATTATAAGGCTAACTACTTTTGTAATTGTTAGGGGTGCAAATTAATGGAGTTGATTAATAAATTACTCTAGCTAGTCCGTGCTCGGTAGAAGCTTGTTCATATTTGATTATTTAATGAAAATAATGAACCGAGTTTGAACTCATTTTGAAGCTCGTTTATTAGATGAGTTTGAATACGGACAAATATATACTAGTTCAAATAAGTTTATGAATTACTCGTTTATATTTGTTTATGAGCTACTTGCTTATTTATGTTCATGAACTACTCATTTGTATTCATGAGCTACTCATTTGATGTGATAGGATGTGATATCTAGAAGACGCAAAGTGTGTTTGATGTGATAGGATGTGACACATTAATATTTTATATAAATTGATCATTTTATAACTTTTGATTACATTTAAAATAATATAT